GTAATCTCAACTTGCTTTCAATGCCACCTGGTAATCTTCCTATGTTCCTGTCTTTATAACAGCTATTTCTAACCTCTACTCTCCTACCACCACCACACTTCTGCCGCATTGTCTCCTCAGACAATTTCACCTCCTACTATGTGAAAAAATTAAAAACAATTGTAAGAGAACCCCTCAAATTTTCTGCCGTGCCACCTATAAACACACCTGCTCAGCACTCAGTCTCCTATTCCCTCCTGTCACAATGGAAGAGGTGCCCTACCTCTGGTCTAAAGCTAATACCTTCACACATGGTCTCGGTCTTACTGCTTCCTGATATTTCACAATTGCCACCACTCCATCAATTCTCCCACCCCAAACATGTGCATGGTCTCTCTCCCTCCCTCGCTCCCTCCCTCGCTCCCTCCCTCCCTCCTTTTCTTCCTTCCTTCTGTCTTCTTTCTTCCTCTCTTTCTTTTTCTTCCTTTTTCTTTCTTTTTTTGTGAGCCCTGTGTGAAATATGCTAGGTAGAGCCCTGTCTTCAAGGTTCCAGCTATGCAGATTGTAACAATGCCCCTTTGAAACCTAATCGGTGGATGGGAAGGGGTGTGCCATTTCTGTTACAAAAGAAGCAGAATTTCCCTCTTAAAATGTTCATACTTGTGGGTCTAAGAAACAGGGCAGTAGATTCACTAATTTTCTGCAATTTTAATAGCTCCTTTTTACCTCAAAGCCTAATGACTTTTCATACTCTATTCTTCAGCCAAGTATGACACTTCCTGACTTTCCCCTAAGGTAGTAAATCAATTCCACACCAAATGCAAATGCACGTGTTGCCTCCGCGTGCTGCTAAGTGCAGAACCAGGGCCTGTGTGGCTGTTCTGTAGAAGGTGGTGTGGGCCCACAGTACATCATTAACCACGCACCGATGCATAACTGAGGGTGACCTCTACCAGATTACCAAAGGCAGTATGGCTACAATATACTTGCCCAATTCTCTGATTCTCAGTTTATAAAGAGTAATTTTGTAAGATTCTTCACATTTCTTAATTTTAGCAGGTTAGGTCCTTCAAATGGACTTTTGTGGTAGGGCAATGGTATTCATTATAGGCTTGAGATGACCTTTGATGACCAACAGCAGTATCTCCAGCCAGCCACGATCACTTTTTCTTTCCTATTCTATCCTTCCACCCTCCTTCCTCTTCCTCTCTCTCAGTCTACAAGCAACAGTTTATTTATTATTTAAAATATATCATTAGCATATTTCTTATTCTAGGTAGGATAAGAAGAAAATATACTTTAATACAGATGTATAATTGCTCACTTTCTGTCACTAATCCAATTGTTCCCTTTTCTCTTTTTCAATCCCTGTAAAACCTTGTTAAGTGTATGCTGTTCTACTTCAGCAGGTCACCTTAGATTTGTCAGAATCTCAAATTCATAGTTGAGGCTGGTTTGTCCCCCTACTTATGGAATCCCTAAAGTCCGAAATAAGTTAGGTAACTACATTTCTCAATAAATATCTTCTCAAGTGTCTTGGGAATATCGATGTCTCTAGTTTAAGCAAAGAACACTGATGTTTGGTCTTTGGAGACAAGTAAACGGGATTTGAATTTTGAGCTTCATACCGATGGAGCATCTGTATAGCTGTGTCTTATCAGATTTAAGTCATGAGGGTTACAGGTGAGAAACTGGAGGCCAAATTTAGAGTAGTTGTGGTTGTTGTGTAGTATAAGTGGGGTTGGATTTTGAGCAGTTTTTAAGTGATTTTAATACTATATTTTGAAATAACTCTCATTTAAATTGATTTTTCTTCTAAATTTTTTTTTTTTTTTGGTTCCTTGAAGGTTCGTCTATACTGCATAAAACATGACAGAGACATCTTTCCTGGTCATAGTATTTCTAATTTTCCCACTGAACCTGTGCAGAAAAAAATCTTAGTGGTTTGTTATTTCAAAATAATAATAGTACATTCTTTGGACTTTTCCCTTTAGTCCAAATGAACTTTTTGGCTCAGTGTATGCTAACTTTTTTGTTTGTTTGTTTTACTTATTGTGATAAATGTGTCCTTATTTCAAATGCCATCATCTTCCTGTGATTCCACTCATCATCCTTCTGTTTCTTAGGGGGCATTTGCTTCCCTGGTCATAGCCACCCGGCCAACGAGGCAAGAGACCTGACTGTAGCGTGCTGCTGAAGAGCAAGACTTCAAGGAGTTGATTCCACTCATCATCCTTCTGTTTCTTAGGGGGCATTTGCTTCCCTGGTCATAGCCACCCAGCCAACGAGGCAAGAGACCTGACTGTAGCGTGCTGCTGAAGAGCAAGACTTCAAGGAGGGGTCTCCACCATCGCCAACAGCAGGAACTTTAAAATAACAGATCCCTCTTTAATCTACTTTCAGGATGATCTATAGTCTTGAGAAATGCTCCTCTTTCCCACCATCCCATTTCTGTTCCAAAAATATATCAGAAAAGTAATGTCTCCTGCTGTCCTTTGGAAACCTTTCTGCAACCATTTTTCCACCTTTAGATTTTATATTATGTCTTAATCATTCATTCCACCCTTCCTCTTGTGTTGTTAAAAATATGCTTTCTTTTTCCAGCCCCTGCCTTCTCCCAGCACCTTATCCATTTTCCGCAGTTTTCTAACTGCTGTTCATTTCCAGGCTCTGACATCACCTCTGCTTCTTAAAGAGACCACCACCAAAGAGACTTATTTTCTCTGAATATTCTTTCAGTTGAACCAACCAGGGAAAAACAAAACAAAACTAAACAAAACAAACAAAAAAATAAACCAAGGCAGATATCAAAAGTAAGATGGAGACTAGAGAAGTTACTCATTTGTAAATCTCTGTTATGCAGGATTAAGAGCCCTGTGTTTTTGTTTCAGTGAGTATGTTCTTATTTTTGTGTAAGTTTACCTTTAAGAGATAAAGGAAGGATGTTTAAGCTCCAAGTGAGAATGCAGTTTAATTCTGTGGAGCTGGCCTTGCTTTGGTATACTTACTGAAAAGGACTAGGCTGGCATTGGTGACTCCCAGCTTGTTGGCAGCCACGCAGGTGTAATTGCCGTAGTGCTCCTCAGTGACGTTGGTCACTGTCAGAGAGGACTGGCCCTCCGTGCTCTTGATCTCAAGGCCATTGGCACTGTTGATCCTAAAAGTTCAAAAACAGAAGAGTGAAAAGGAACATGGATGAAGATTTTCACCTACTACTTCTTTCCCCAGCCTTACATTGGAGGAAAAGGAGAGAAAGAAAGTAGTTACAATTTGTTGTTCCCTGCTCAATTCCTCATTTTAATTGTGCAATCTATGCAATCCCATATTGTCAGCATCAATGTCCATTGACAGAGAAGACTCAGGAATGGATGAGTTCCATTGGGCTTGTGTTTCTGCTACAGATAAAAAAGACATGCAGGTGGAAAGTACCCACTGAACCATCTACTTCACTTTTTATATATAGCCTGAGGGCTTCTGGGCTTCAGCTTAAGAGTTGCAGGCACCAAAGCACTTGATAAAGAGATGAGGAAAAGGAAGCGTATAACGGTATAGGTCTGCATAATTACAGCTGGGCTTGGTTTCATCATGGGGGCTTCTGGTGCCTCTAGGACCAACTAGCAGAACAGTGGAGACATGGCACATTTGGCACTTACCTGGTGTCATCCCGGTACCACTCAAAGTCAGGTGCAGGCACTGCTGAGGCCTCACATTTGAGTGAAGCTTGTCGCCCTGTGGTGGCTTCGTTGCTCTTGGATTCTGTGATAGTGGGAGGATCTGTAGAAAGGACAAGCACATGGGTTTACATGAGAGTCAGAGGGTGCTCCAGAATTTTCATTTGGGGAAGAATTAAGAAGGACAATCTGATTGGAGAGAGGCAGGAAAGGAATTGTCTTAAAGCTCCATTTACATGAATTACATGATCAGATGAATGGGATTGGTCGCTAGAAAATAAATAAAAATAAGAGATGATTACTGAAAATGTAGACTTGGTTTATTTAAACTAGACACTTAACAGGGTTTTATGGAAATAGAACCTAGGATTTCTTTTTCCCTTCTCCAATAGATCATCAATTATTCCAACCGTAGATTGTAATATTTGCATAGTTTCTTTATTTTCATAATTTAAGCAGTGATACTAAAGGACTTGAGATTTTAAATGTATAATTTGACCATTTTTATTTTTCTTCATCATCATTTTACTATTATTATAGTTTGGGATGATTTTGAGGAGTCCAATGAAAATAATAGAAGGCTAAAATCCTCCTAAGCCAAGCTTAGCCTGATATTGTTGCAGGAATTTAGAAACAAACCAACAAACAAAATACTTATTAGGTGATTACCTTTTTTTCTTGTATGTGTTCCCTTATCACTATGACCCAGGTAATTTTCCTTTTATGTGTGGTGTGCAGTCTGCAGTCTATCCTGGAGCATAGAAGACTTCCTGGGTCTCAGTCTTCTACTCTCTTGGGCAGTTGTTTACTTGATTTTTATGCCCAGGGATGGACATACAAAACTATAACAGGCTTGAAATGAGCTTAGAAACACATCTGACATTCTAATTTGCAACGACTCTTTCAAGCTAACCTAGGAGTGTGGAACAGGTGTTTACAGGTCCGCATGACTACAATAGGGTTGTAGACTCGAGCTCCTGGGCTTGGTGATGCTGTGATTGTGCCTGTTATGAACCTTCAAGGAGAAAATGATTTTTCTGTCCAAAGGTCATTTGCTAAAAATGGCAACGTGGCTGTGTACCCAAGGAAAAAATAGAAACCATCTGTTTAGACTTTGTAGAGAAAAAAGCTTATTTCGGGAAATTAGAAAAGGAAACTTTAGTGTACAAAATTCATTTAAACCCCTGCTCTTCAGTACCTAGGTCATCTTTCTTGTTTCTAAATTTTTCTCTTCATATTCTAAAACTATTTCCTGAGTGTTCTGCCTGTAGAAGACTATCATTATCTGAGTTAAAAAGGATATACAAAAGCATCAGGTTAGTTGGAAATTTTCTTCCCCCATTTCATTTTCCTATCAGCTTAGAAATCTTTAAGTCATTGTCAGAGAGAGGAGGCCTTAGAGCACATTTAGATAAACCTTGTCAGTCCATATTCAAACAGGTGTGACAGAGAGAGGTTTTGTTGTTTTATTGGTTTTGTTTTTGTTGTTGTTGTTTTGCTTTAGACGTCTGCTTATTTTTGTATAGGCTCAAAATGGGAAAATGATGTAGGGGAAAGAACCCTGAACTTTAAACTAGGAGTCTTGGAATTTAATTTCAGATTGACTGTGTGGACCTCCCATCACACTGTCTTTCTGGGCCTTGGTTTAATCACCTATGAAATGAGGGAACCATACTTTAATGATCTATAGCATCCCTTCCGGCTATAAAATATCCCAATTCTAGTCAGAACTGCCCCTTCTTTCTGAATGGGCAGTTGGTATTATTATGACCTAACTGTATTTTCATGCCCTTAACTTGTTTAACTCTTAAATTGCTAACTTTCCAAATTAGAACTCATTCATCTACTCCATGGTTTTGGAGTCAGGATTAGCAGTCAGGAATAGGACTCCTGAGGTCTGATTTTGACTCTACTCTTAACCGGAACTGTGGTCTGGGCAAGCATCTGTAACAGTCTGAACCTTTTCTTTCTCATCTTTTAAAAGAAGAAGGTAGTTTAAAATAATCGCCCAAGGTTCCATTTAAAAGTTTTTCATGCCGTGATTGGTTACATAGAACATTAGAGAACAGCAGTTCAAAGGATAATGTGCTAATTGGCAGTCGTCATATTTGTGGAGGAGGCATTAATATAGAGATGGAGCATAGAATATAAGTGATAGGCTTAGAATTAAAGTTTGATAGACCTGAGCTCAAATCCAGGCTCTGTCCCTCATTGTCCTTCTTCATTAGAGAGTTTAGTACTTTGCCCAGAGTCGCAACACTTCAATTTCTTCCTCTATAAAATGTTGGAACTAGAGTCAAGGAAGCCCATTTAAAGACTGATGAAGAATCCAGAGATGTCCTGCACTAGGTTTGTGATAGAGGGGCTCGAAAGGAGTGGACAGATACATGAAGCCTCAGGATTGACAAGACTAGCCATGGATTAGATGTGAAGGGTGAGGGAAAGAAGGAGTGTCAAAAAGGTGACAGCCAGGTTTCTGGCTTGGGCTTGGGCATCCGGGTGATGCCACCCACTGAGACAAGATGTATAAGAAGAGAAAGAGATGACCAGCAGTAAAACACTCAACAAATATTAGTCTCCCATCCTCACCTCTTCTCACTGCATTATGTTCTTAAACTGCCAATGACTCCACAATATGTAGCACAGTGGCTCATCGATGTTGGCTGGAGAGATTAATTTTGCTGGTGATTCTGTTGGTTTGTTGACTTTCACAATTTGAAAAATGAGTTTTAACCAGTGTTTGTGAGTTTCTGGAGCTGGATGGTTATAACTGACAAATTCTTAATGATGACTGTTGCTTTGCTAACCCAGCCCTAGACCTGGGCAAGACTCCACACATCCTACCATCACCCCCGGCACTCATAGCTTTGGCACCTCAATATAATATTGCCATGGTGGATGCTTTCTAGTCCCTCTACCACAGGACCAAGAATGCAGGCCCCAGCTGCACAGTTTTGTAGAGTTTTCTGCCTTATTCTGGTTATTTCCTTGTATATGGCAGGAGCTTATATAATGTACCTACTGCTCTGGAATACTAGAGAAAGGAATGATTTATCTAATTGAAAAATTTGGGAAGAATAAACTGGGCCCGTTTGGCTCATCTCTTCACCTTCTTGCTTTTGGGACCAAGCTCCTTGCAGGTAGCAGAGGTTCTCCTCTGTTTCTTCATGCTGGAATTCTTACTTGGGCTCACCCCTTCCCACTCTCATGTGAGCAGAACTGCACCAACCCAGGGCTGCCGTGACTGGGGAGGTATGTTGGCCACACATAGCTACTACCTCTAACCACCTTAATCTCTAACAATGGGGGCATTTGGTTCTCCTAGATTACTCTTTTACTTATTTCTCAATTTGTTTGAAACCTGAATGACTAAGCAGTACACTATTTATTAGCCCCACAGAGGTCCTAACATGGGACAACTGGCAGCAAACTAAGGTTGGGCACTTTTAAGTGCATAAATTTTGGGAAAAAATGACACTCGTTAATTACAAAGTCCAACTGCTTACTTCTCTCTTTGAAAACTTAGTAAGTTTCTTGTACCAGGGTAAATTTGTGAATACTGATATATGTACAAAGAGCTCATTTGGAGAATTTAGGAACAAATTAGAATGTCAGATGTGTTCCTAATGTTTCTCAAATGACACCATGGGGAAGGTCTGTTCTTCCATGGCTTATTGGAATGAACATTTCAAAGATCATTTGTAATGAATTCTGTATAGGCGAGGCTAAGAAAGATTATTACAAATCATACTGCAGTATGCTTAGCATAGTTAAAGTAATAGGTGCCCTTGCTCAAAATATGGTTATAATAAAAATGTGGCTTCATTGAAATTCTGCATCAAGAAGTCAACCGTTATTCTTTACATGACTTTGGAAAAGCTGACAATTGTCAAAGGACTCTTCCAGTTTTTATTACTTCAAAATTTGGAGTTCTGAAAATATTAATAAGGCCTTTCTTCTTCTTATACCTCCAATAACAAGGCTCTTTCAATTAGAATAAAGAGGATAACAATGATAAGATATCATTCACTTAATTTTCCTAATATTGGGAATATATTAATAAAGGATAATTATAATATTAATAGTAATAAATAAAATTCTGAATAAATGATTCAATTTATGGGCATTTACCACATGTTAGCACTGTACTAGGCTTTAGATATTCTCTTTATCCAAATAATAAGCTCTAGGAAGTAAGCATTATTAACCCCCTATTATGAATGAAAAGACCAGCCTACAGAGCATTAGTAACTTGTCCCAATTCACATAGCGAGTATTTGGTGGGATATGGATTTGAACCCAGGTCTCTCATGTTCTGAATCCCATGCTATGAACTTCTCTATGCTGATACTTCTATACTAGTTCTTTTAAAGAGCAATGAATTCCTAATAAGAAAAAGTACCACTTAGGGTAGTAGGCTGCTAGCTTGAAAAGTAATTGCTACGTACTTTTGCTATTTACAGGGTACCAAAAAATGGCACGACATACAGTGACATATTGGATATAAACCTGCACTGGAAGTCAGGATGTGGGCTCAATTTCTGCCTGCGCCATTTAGGCTGTCAGCACAGACATGTTGTCTTCCTGCAGCCCTTCACCTGTGAATATAGATGATGGCATCTGGGTACTGATTTCACAGTTTTGATATAAATATCAAATAAAACCATGCATACGAGAGCACTTTTAACACCTAAAGTGATTACATTTATTATTTCTTATTGCTATTATTCACCTGGTGTCATGGAAGGAAAGAGGGCTTTGGAGTTAGACCTGGGTTAGAGTCCCAAGTCTGCTACTCACGAGCTCTTTGATTTTGTGGCAGAGAATGCTTACATTCTCTGAGCTTTGTTTTGTCTTCTCTGCATGGGGTCAGTTGTCTACCAGGGTTAGCATGCAGTGGTGTAACACAGTGGCAGAGGGTGCAGGCAATAATAAAGGCATTGTCTGTAGAGAATTTAGGAACAATAAGTTAAAGTTGTCTTTTTTTTTTTTAATTGCCATGTACCAGCAATACTGAAGTAAGCAGTGTCTGTGATAAAATAAATACTTCTCCCTGGGGCAAACCAGGCCCAGTATACCTCCCTGCTTGCTTGGCCACTGTTAATATGATGATTACAGTGAATGTATTTGAAATCTCTAGGATGGTCTTGGTACTCTGAAGGCATCAGAAAATTATGGTGCTTGTCCATATTGTAAAATTATAGTAGAAAATTATAGTACTCTGGATTCTTACTGAATACTTACTCTGATAATCTCATGATAGATTTATAAACATTAGAATGTGTCTTTACCAATACATTCCCAAGTGTAAGAATAGCTTAAATCTCGGCATGGAGACTGGATAGCTGTAGCTATGAATAGCTAGCAAAGGTGGCCAGTCTGGTTCCATGTTGTGTAGTTATTTTCCTAAAGTTTCCTCATTAGGTGATTTTTGAATCAAAGCACTGAAGAGTTGAGTTAAAATACATGTATGTAATCTGTAGGCAACATGTGTTTCCAGTTTCAATTGTGTATTCTGTGGTAACCCCTGCCTCCCCTAAATAGATGGCAAATAAATGTAAGGGTAAGCTTACATTTAGAAATGGCAGCATTCTGTGTCCCCCACCATCTGTACTAGTTGGGTTGGTTAGCTCTGGACTCCAGGGTGGAGGCAGAGCTGAGTTCAGAGGGAGAGGAGTAGAGGAAAAAGACGTTGTGAAGAGTGACTATGTGAACCTATCTGGAGACAGAGCTGAGAGAAGGCAGAAGGTGGGATCATTAGTTTGTCAATGGGGTAGCGGGCAGGTTTGAGAGCTGGGGGCAGTTTTGAGAAGAATTTCTCCAGGAATTGGAAAAAAAGTTCAGTATAGGAAGAGTCCAAATAAAATTAATAGTTTGTACTGAATAAAAATTTATTATGTGCTAGATGTTATAGTAGGTATACTGGGCACTAGAGTGAGACAAACTCATAAGTAGAAACTTTTAACACACTGTAAGAATGAAAATTGAGGAATTACATCTACAAGCTGCAATGGAAGGACAGACTGTCCCTAGGGCTGGTACCTGGAAGACATTAGCTATAATGTGGGTAGAATACAGGAAGCCAGAAGTCCTGCCTATTGTATGAATTTTACTAAGGTTATTTAATTGAAAATATTTTGAGCCAAATAATTTAGCTTTTTGGAGAAGGGTTATCTGAGAGAAGTAAAAAAGGAGAAACTATACAATCCCGCTTGTGAGCTCAGCAGAAGAAACTGCTATGTCTCTTGTCTACTGCTCCAGCCTTTCGGTGTCCTGCAACAAACATTTGTTGGCAACCAAGTAAATGAATCAGCAAAGCCTTGATAAAAGAAAGTTAGCAGCACTGGGACTTTTTTATTTTTAAATGGTACTCAGGGTCTGTTCACTACAATAATCTATTCAGCCATTCTAATCCCCTGACATAATTCCAAACCCTGTGTTTTGAAAAGAAAGAGAAATCAGTTTAAATAATGGGGCATTTTCATAGCAGGTAGGCTTAAATGAAGTGACAAAGGTGATCCTGGACATTTTTCTGTATGCAAAGGTTTTACTAGGCTGACCTAGTTCCATAATTCAGTCTTGGATACTTCTTCCACTTAGTACAACTACATTTAAGTAACATGAATTATTTGAACAGAATAACTGATACAATGACTAGTTTCAATATGATATAAACACAGCTTATGAAGTTTTAGTAAAAAGGTGATTCCACAGGAAATTGATAGTAGAATATTATTGATTTGTGACCAATATTATTTGCAAAGTTTGGGGAAATGTTAAGAGCCCAGAGTGTGGCTATGAGTTTTCCACCTACTCATTCAGTAAACATTTACTGAGCAATTTTAATAAGGTTGGGCATGTGCTGCTCCTGCTGGTGACGACATACTGCATCTTTGACTAAACTCATTATAGCTTTCCATATAATTTGTTACATGATGTCTTTTTAGAATCTCCAGGTTCTGTCCAGTCTTCTGTGGTTCAGTCATAACTAGCAAAAGTGTATATTTTCATAAAAGTCTTTTCTTGAAAATTATCAGTATTTTCTTCTGTTCTAAATTACACTTTGGGGACAGTCAAGAAGGAGCAATGTCAGACTAATTGTGCTAATAATAATAGGGCCCAGGCAGCTAGCTTTGATCTTGGGAACCATCTGCAATCCAGACCACTTTGATGTTTCACACGATGGAAGCATAAATATTTTCTATGTACTCCATGATTGGACTTTCAGAAATCTAATTAAGATGAAGGTCAATTAAGAGAAAATGAAGTCTTGACTCCGAAAGTCAGGGAAGAGATAGAAGATGATGGCGTGGTTATATGTACATAAAAGAAGCTAACTAACCTAATTATAAACTTAGATAAACACCCAGAGAAGTTGCCTTTCATGTGAAAAAGAGGTCCTAAAGCATTTTATAACATTGAGATTATTAATGTGTCTTTGAAACACACCCAGTACTGGAAAAGAATAGTAATACTGGCATTTCAAAACTCTATTACTAAAAAATTCAGAGACAGCTAAGGACAGAAGCACTTCAGAGCTCATCAAATGCAGTGCTTGCTTCTGGGAAATGAGCTCCAGAAGTGTCTACAGCAGAGTCACATCTACTGGCTTCTCCTAGGTGTGGCGTGAAGGAGACTTTGCTGCCTGTTTCAGAAGCTGCAAGGCTGGAGCAAGGCCACAGCTAACAGTGCATTCCAGCACAGGCTGGGGCACCTTGAGCAAGTCTCCTCAGCTCTCTAAGCCTCAGTTTTCAAATTTGTAAAGTAAGACTAATGATGCTTATAGGTTTACTGTGAAGATTAAATTACAAATGTAAACTCCTTAATTCAATGCTGTACATAGTACAGACTAATGATGCTTATAGGTTTACTGTGAAGATTAAATTACAAATGTAAACTCCTTAATTCGATGCTGTACATAGTAGGTACAAAGAACTGGAAATTCCCTCCTCTCTTTTTCTCCTGAGAGCGAGGGCTTTAGAACCAAATGGACCTGAGTCTGAATCCCTTTTCTCACATTTGCTTTCTCTGTTGCTTTGAATAGGCAACTTTACCTCCTTCTGCTTCAGTTTCTCAAACTCTAAAAAAGTCTCAATTGTATCTACCTTGACAGGCTTATCGAGAATAGAGAGAATTTATGTAGAATCACTGGCACGAAGGTAACTGCATGGAGGACATAAGGTGACAGAAAATAACTCATCATAGCTTAAAGCATACTTTCCAATATGGGTTATGATTTTTGTGCATATGTGTCTGTGTGCCTAACTGTATGTATGTGTATTATGTGTGCATATGTATGTTTGTAGGGAGTGTGTGTGTTAAATGCATTGAAGGGAAAAACTGTCGAGACATCCTTTTGTCTCTGTCGCTAGCCATAATTGTGTGATGTGGGAACTTGAATTTAAATGATGTAGAAAGTCACTCCTAACTGAACAGGGTAAACGAATTCTCTTTATTCCTTTGCTGGGTGACACACATCATAAGGATCCTCCCCTCTCCCCCTTTTGAACTACATCTAAAGATCCTTTCATCTGAGAAGTTCAAAGAATGCCCACTTACCTATGCATCTTAGCAAAATCTTCCTTTCTAATGCTTATACTTTGGGAAAAATAGATAACCAAAATTAACTTACTAAGCATCCCTGTTAGCCCCCAAGGATGCATGGTATCTGACCACAGTGGCTTGAATTTGTTCCCAAGGCCAATTAGTTAAAAAGCTGAGGATAAAATATAATCTTGGGGTATTCCTCCTGATAAACAATGCATTAAGTTAGAAATTCTAGTTAAAACAGATATGAATTGTTTTTTCCAAAGTAGTATGACCTTGGTCTCCACAAAGACCAGAACAGTTACTGCCAGAAAAGCTAGTGCTGTCTGGTCATGTTTTCTTAATTCTGTAGTCTGAGTAAAGACAGAGTGTATTGCTAAATGTATTATAGGTTGTATTTAGAGTTGGTCGAGTTGATTTATCAAATTCAAAGGCCAAGTCCTGCCCTTGGATATGTCAATGTATAAATGTGCATCCCTGACCAGAACAGTGTCTGCTTGAAATGCAATGCTCTTTTTGCTAATGGAATATTTAGAGCTTGCTGGAGGTGGAGGTGCACCCTGTGCACACAGCACCTGCTGGCTCTTGCATACTCACAGTTCACAGTGACCTTGACTTGTTTGACATCCGCTGAGGAGACCTCATTGGCAGCTTTGCACTCGTATTTGCCTGACTGCTCCCTGGTGATGCCGAGGATCTCCAGATATTCTTCTTCTCCTTCAAATTCTCTTCCTAAAAAACAGAAGTTTGCATGATTGTTTTCTAAAGTCTAAAATATACAGCAGATCACCTCATTTTTCTTTTTAAAAGCAATAAATCCACATGGCTTTTCAATAATTAGACAATGGGCTTTGTCTGAGATCAGACTCCACAGAAGCAAGACCCTAGGGCAAAAAGTCTTGTGAAAGTGATTAAGTAGGAGGTGTTCTCAGGAAAAACTGGCAGGGGAGTGGGAAAATGGGACCTGGGAGGGAAAGAAGCCAAGCAAGGGTGCAATGCCAAGCTAAGCCCCACAGACAGCGACTGCGGCTCAGTCTTTCAGGGAGCTCTGGGGACAGCGCATGTCTCTTTCAAAGTTGTTCTGATCATGAAGCAAGAAGCAGAAGTGCTTACGTCTTCACCCATCCATCATTGGTTAAGGGTTGGAGCAATGCAGGGGGAGAGGAGGTGCACATAAGTCATAAAGTGCTCTGAGGGGATATGGGTGAAGCACTGACATCACCGATTATGCCATGATGCAAAGCACCCTTTACACCAAAGTGGTATTCGATGATGTGTCTTCCTTTTGAGAAAACACCACCCTTCTCTAGACTATGTGGAATTCTGTTCTCAAGGATCGTGTGCTAAACCCTGTCTTGCAGTTATGGTTTCCTTGTTCTGCATCAAACATTGAGGCTTTCAGGCCATGGACCAGATTCATAAGAATGGGCTGTGTGGCTGATGGTGTGTTTTGTGATAGACTGTGTCACCTGAGGAGCTAAATATAATTGGCTTCACAGTTGGTTTTAGGGATATGGAGGCCCTTTGTGGAAAGATCTATAAAGTTGGATGTGTCCATTTTAGTGAAAAAATCTCAAGTTGGGTAATCTTATTTAAAAATTCTCCCTGTATGGAGAATAATTGATTGAATGACTTTCTTTCTGAAGAGATCAGTAGAGAAATAAGGGAGAGAGAGTGGAGAGGGAGAAAGAGGAAACAGGGAAAGAGAAGGTAAAGAGGAAAAGAGGTTGGGTAGCAGGGAGAGCTTAGCCAGAAAGGCCTACCGATTTGTTCTGTAGCTAAATCGAACCCCCCTCACTCCAGATTTCAAAAGTCCAGGGCTGCTTGGGTTAGGGTGGAGCAGTTGGGGAGGGTGTTAAGGAACATGGTCTTGCTACCATGATGGAATCTTGCTGCCGGTCACCCTACACTAAATGGTACCAATTAATAGCTCTGCTCAAATGCCACAAGCTGTTTCCCTTTTCTGGAAATTCCCTGATGGCCAAATCAACATAACAGCCAGCCAGCACAGAGAAGAATTCACTGTCTAAATATGTCAGCTAAGCCTGTTAACTAGGCTTTCAATAGAACATAGGGCCTCTTTGATAACATTCTATAACGCAACTGTCAGGAACACTCCAAGCTTCAAGTCTTCTGTCAATTGTCAATGTCACGAGTTTTGAGGAAACTTTGCAATCCCAACAACAAACAGCAACAGCAATATAAAATTATTTGGTCTTGAAATTCTGCACATTATTTATCCATACTTCTACCGAAAATGTTTGTGAATTAGTCTATATTATATGGCTGGATATTATTTATAAAAGATTTTTTTTTCCTATCTGTGTTTTCCACTTTTTCCTTTTCTACATTCAAGCAAGTAGTCAGATCTGATTTTACATGTTACAGAAGTGGAATGTAGTAGGGAAGAAAACCGAAATCTCAGAAAGGGTAACAGACCATTTTATTGGATTAGCTGAGGCAGGACTTGGGCTTGGAGGAAAGGAGAAAAGAGATCTTTCCTGCATACTTCCATCTATGGACTGAGAGTCATGCCAACTACTTGATGCTAAGAATCCTCTAGCTGGACATAAAAACGCTGAAGACTAATGTGGCAACTTTGACAATTTAGTTTTTTATTTAACAGGCTAAAATAGGTGTAAGCTCATTCAAAATCTGGAGTGCAGGGTTGGAACAGGCAGTAAAATAGCATTATTGATTTTGAGAATAATTGTAGATTGTAATGGGAAAAGAACTAGTGATAATTTCAGAATGTTTTAGGATTTCTTCCCTGCCCTCCCCCATACCCGCAGGCCTTTTTCCCGGGTGGGTACAGAGTTGTCAGTAGAAGAAAGAGAGAACAATCATAGTCCTAGAGATGGTTGACAATACTGAGTTCTTTTTAATTCTCATCAAATGCCCATGGTGGGTCATGGATCCCTACCTTGCATTTTGAATTTCTAAAAGAAATAAACCAGTTACAGGAGAGGGAAAGATGATTTTTGGCAGCACCAACTAAGGCCCTGCCAGTTTGGAAAAATGGCACCTATGAGAGTAAATATTATGATGAATAAGAGAAAATAAAGAAATATTTATTGAGTTTGGGGCCTGGAATTCTCACATGCCAATGCAGGTATTAATAATCTCATATTTTCCCCAGATAAATGGATAATAAAACAGATCCTCATCACATAAATATTCATTTTCATGTCTCTAGGAAGAATTTCCCCCAATGCTACCTTAGAATGAAGGGGGCGTTTTCCCTCAAGTGACCCCTGTGAGGCAGGGATCATTTTTGCTTGTGCTGTGGTAGTCTCTCCACTCTGGTGCTGCCTCCAGATCCAGCACACAGCATGGTAGCCATGTCATTAGAGGGGCAGTCTCAAGGTGCAAACCAAGTGTGCGTAAGAGAAACCACATGGTTTTACTCATCCCACCAGCCAGACAAGAATTTAAAATATTGAACAACACTTTGGGCCCTCTCTGATGTCACTCTTCCTTTGCTTACCCCTGGGATTTTCCACTTGAAACTCCTACACCCCTGTCACTTCTTGCTAGTCCTCTGCTCACACCCACAGGAGATACTCCTACTTCACTTGAGAATTTCTCACTCATCCACCATAATTTTTTTTTTTATCCACAGTAATTTGATAGAAAATGGGAGCTTTTCTGTTGCTAGAAAGCCAAAACTCCAGATTGTAAGCTCCTTGGGAACCATGTCTTACTCGTAATATCCCCATGAACTGGTACAGGGTTTGGCACAGATTAGTTATTCACTAAATGTCTGCTGAGTTCACCTGAGATAGACTGAATGCTTGTGTCCCTCCAAAATTCATATGTTGAAACTTAATCTCCATTGTGATGGTACTTGGAGGTGGGGATTTGGGGAAGTGATTAAATCATGAAGATGAAGCCCTTAGGAATGAGATTAGTGCCCTAACAAAAGAGTGCCCAGAGAGCTCCTTTGCCTCTTTTGCCATGTGAGACTGTGATGGTACTTGGAGGTGGGGATTTGGGGAAGTGATTAAATCATGAAGATGAAGCCCTTATGAATGAGATTAGTGCCCTAACAAAAGAGTGCCCAGAGAGCTCCTTTGCCTCTTTTGCCATGTGAGACCACAGCAAAAAGGCAGCTGTCTGTGAAACAGGAAGTGGGCCCTCGCCAGACACTGAATTTGCTGTTACCTTGATCTTGTACTTTCCATAACTCTGAGAAATAAATTTCTGTTGTTTATAAGCCACCCAGTCTATGATATTTTTGTTATAGCAGCCTGGATGGACTGAGTTATAGCTGAACTGAATTAAACACAAACAGTCTATGATATTTTTGTTATAGCAGCCTGGATGGACTGAGTTATAGCTGAACTGAATTAAGAAACACAAGCAGAAGTAGAGTCACCTCAGTACTACACATGGCTTAAGAGAGCAGAGCTAAGTACTGAAAGGTGGCTAAATATTTCTGTAAGACAAGCTGGTGTAAAAATTCACGTTCTTCTAACAATTCTAACAGTGGACCATTTTACTGGGGAAGAAAGGGGATGCTGAGTACTCTGCTGTTAAAAGGCTGAACAGGGGCCTCTGGCCATGTCCTAAGGGTGCATCTGCTGTGTGGAGTTATTGTTTCAGAAACTAGCCAAGCCCCCATGCACACAGACATGACACTAGATACTATGCCTTTCCTTTCATCTCAGCAACTGCAGTTTCTTGTTTCAAGGCATGGGATACATCACGTGAATCTTGAGTCACAAAATCCTAAAATGCACTCAGATTCTCCTGCTCCTTTCCCTTTGCCCCCTGTATATGTCCCCATGGGGGCTCCCATTCTCCAGTTCTTTCAGTTCAGTCTGGCTGGCTGCTCTCATCCCAAGGGACCTGCCACCACCGCCTTTTACTCTCTCAACCTTAAGAAGACTCTCAGGCCAGAAATGGACACATAACCTGCTGTTTCAGTTTTCTGGTAGACTAGCTCTGTGGCTACAATCTGAGTCCTTTTCTTGTTCCTATCTATTATTTTCCGCCCTTGTATAAATGTTTACTTGAAATGCAAATTTCAATATTTTGGTATTTTAAACATCTCAACCAGTTTCCACAAGCTTGCTCACGTCGCCGAGTGTTATATTTATTCTGGGATCTAGTGTTTAGTTTAAATCTCCCTTTGCTTAATGTGCTTTTGTGTCTCCTGGCAATATTCAGCTACCAGGCTCAATAACTTCTCATCCTCCTCAGTGTATGCACCTTTCAAATTGTTGCACATAATTAGCATATCCCCGCTTAGTCACTGTTTACTCAAGTTATACATATTAGTTCTTTTAATATTTCCTCATAAATCAGAAAGAAGGGCCTAGAGCTAATGGCAAGAGGAAAGTGTTGTCTTCTGCGTTCCCCAATGTGGAGGCAAATCAGCCAGGAATAACTCCAATTAAAGTATGCCAGTGGCCGCCTTCTGGGTACAGTGCCTTCAGAGTACCATACTTCGGTGAAACCTGTAGTTCACATTCAAAATGTTGATTTATCTAGATTTCCAAGGCCTCAATCAGGCATGATCAGGCATTTGTAAGCAAGCTGCCGTTTGAAATTAAATACATTTCCATGTTATTTCTCTCTCTCCCCCAATCTTCCCACTTTTGGTTTCTCTCTCAATATCTTTCTCAATATCACAAAATCTCTCTCTCACTTTCTGCTCTCTCAATCTCTCTGTCTCTCTCTGTCCCTCTGATCTCACACACACATACACACACAGCTATTTATTTACT